GGTTGCTATGAAGCTGGTTGGGCAACAGTTACGGAGGGGCCTTGCATTCAAGCTAGGGAACCGCCTTTAAGACTCAAAGGGAGGCCGGCCGGCCTGTGGCTCAGTCTGAGCACCGACCCATGAACCAAGAGGTCGCTGGTTCCATTCCCGGTCAGAGCACATGCCCGGGTTGCCAATCCCCAGTAGGGGGCCTGCAGGAGGTAGCCAATCAATGATACTTCTGTCTCTCTGTCACACGGCACGGAGCGCCCGAATAAATTCCTTTTAATTGACGGAAATCAGAGCTGCTCCTGGGCGAGGCTGTGGGGCTGCTTCCTGTCCCCAAAGGGCCTGTCTCGGGAGGAGTGACCTGGGGCCCTAACAGTGCGGGTTAGTCCCCTGGGGCTGGGGTGCCCCCTCCCCGCCGCTGGCCCCTCCCCCCCAGGAAGGGGCCCAGGTGCTCCCTGTGAGCAGGGGTCGCTATGTCCGCCTTGTAGCGATGAGCCTTCCAGTTCTGGGTGGGATGGTGTGTCCACAGCACGCGCCCACTCCTGCCCTGCGGCTTCCTCCTGGAGAGGGAGGCACCCCACCCCCACCCGTGGGGTTCAGGAGGGCCTGGCCCTCCCACGACTGCAACTCCCAGCCGAGCCTCCTGCCGGGACCCGGTCCATGGGGCCCCTCCCCAGGCCACACAGGGCATCGTGTGCTTTGGGCTTCCCCACCCTGCACCCCGTGAGGCCGCCCAGGGAGAGGCCTGGAGGCCAGGCTCTCTGACATCAGCTTCAGGGACCAGAGCGCCTCCTCACCTCCGTGGGGATGCTGGGCCCTCAGCGCCCCGCCCTGGTCCGTCCCGTCTGTAGGACCTGGAGTTCAGTCCCTTTGGCCTGGAGAGGGGACCGTGACCGCCCGCCTTCCCCCCACTGCCTCGCCCAGTGCAGAAAAAAAAAAACTGAAAGGGAGGCCAGCGTTGGGTGCGTGGCCCGCCAGCCCAGCAGCCTCCCAGATGACTGAGCGCAGACTTCTCTTGCGGCCTAGAGCGTCCCCGGAAGTTCCCGCGACACGGCCTCTAGGGCAGCTAAATGCACAGTTCTCCGTAAGCCTAGAGCGTCGGCGGAAGTGTCGCGCTGCCGCCTCCAGGGCAGCGGAGCGCAGGCCTCTGGCGGCCTAGAACGTCCCCGGAAGTGTCTGCGCTTCAGCTTCCAGGGCAGCTGAGCGCAGTCATCTGGCGGCCTAGAGAGTCGCCGCAAGTACCAGCGCCGTGGCCTCCAGGGCCGGGGGAAGCACAATTCTTCGGCGTCCTAGAGCGTCGCCGGAAGTGCTCGCGCCGCGGTCGCGGTCTCCATGGCAGCCGAGCTTTTTTTTTTGTTCCTCCCCGCGGCCTAGAGCGTCGCAGGAAGTGCCTGCGTGCGGCCTCCCGGGCAGCCGAGTGCACAGTCCTCCCGCAGCCTAGAGAGTTGCCAAAGGGTCTGCATCGCGGGTGAAGGGGCTGACTCGCTTCGGGCTGGCAGCGGGGACTGCAGGTGAGTTGCGACGGACGGGATCGGGGGCGGCTGACGCGAGGCCAGGGCGCAGGACCGCGTGTCCGTCCTGGGTTCTCCGGGGAAAGAAGGAGCCAGGGCCCCCGAGTTCGACCGCGGGGCCTTGGTAACTAGCCATGGGCACCTCGTTAACTAGCCACGGGGCCTCGTTAACTAGCCATTGGCACCTCGTTAACTAGCCACGGGGCCTCACTAACTAGCCACGGGGCCTCGTTAACTAGCCATGGGGCCTCACTAACTAGCCACGGGCACCGCATTAACTGGCCATGGGGACTGTGGCCGGACAGGCTCCCCAGCCCCACAGGCTGCTGCTCGCTGGTGCTGATGCTGGTGCTGACCTGGGAGCAGGCCTGGGGCTGTGAGGGGCAGTACTCTCTCTAGTCCCGGGTCACAGTGATGAGTGGAACCGGGACAAGGGCTGTCAGGCCGGGTCCCGCGCCTCCCAGCACCTCTGCCCGGCGTC